GATGTGGTACCCGCACGGGTAGCTCAGTTGGTCGAGTGGTGAGAGATTTGGATCAATGGAACAAGGTTCGAATCCCCGCAGCGACCGGGTGGAGGTCAGAGAACCTGAAATAAGGCTGGGCCTGTGGTGCGCACGGGTGTATGGGCCTACTGTCATTCTGCTGACTGAGTCACCGTGACTAACCTCCCCACCATCATGTTGGGTCGGGGTGGGGGGGCTCCTAGGGTGGGAGATTCCACCTTTTGGATCAATTGATGTTGATGTGGTAAGAGATTCATAATTTTGAATCTAGACATATAATTTGTGAATATTAGGTTCAAACGATTGTAATTTTTTGTGATATTTTAAAAAACTTTATTTGCGGTGCTATTTAATTTTTATTTTTTTAATTTAGGTGATCGATTATAAGTAGTGAATCATCATTTTAGGATTTATACTAATTTTGAAGAAAAAAATTATCTTTTAATAAAACGGTTACCCGCGGATAAAAAATACTCGATGGGTAACGGGGCGGTTTCGGGGAAAAATATTATCAAACGGGGCGAGTACAGGTAATGGTATACCTGACCCCGAACCGCCCCGTTGCCATCCCTAGTTGGAGTTACTTTTTTGGCTGTATTGGCTGAAGTGACCGCAGATCACCATTTTAACTATTTTTACATATAATTTTTTCATTACTTTATTGATAAAATATATTTAGAAAATAATTTTTTTCTTAAATCAACAGAATCAACCAAATCAGCCACTTCAACTAGGACTTCATAAATTTCAGCAGAATTAGCCAAATCAGCCGATTTTTCTGTTACCAAACGGGCTCATGGTCACACTAAAGTTATGGTAGTGATAGTGGTAGAATGAATTAGCAGCCATGTGGTGTTGTGGTGGAGTAGCATTGGGGGAACCAGAAATTTTACATGATATTCTTAAAAAGTTTAAAATATCAACATATATCTATAGATTAAAAGTATTTATACATGATATATACTTAAGATTTTTTTTCTTGCAGGGACCGAGACCCCCTCCAGCTCCTCCATGTCTCCACCCCTATGGAGTGGCTAGACAAAAGTTACTTTAATTACAACAAATATACCATAATACTTGATAAAAGATGCACTTTTTCAGTAAAAAATTAGGTACTTGTTTTAAACATTTCTTTTACTGATATCTTAATTAATATCGTGGTTGCCGTTACATTCTGAAGTCTCCGGTCTCCACCAAAACAAAATTTGAAATCTTTAAATAATGTATACTCCGTAATAATAGGCAGGGGCGTCGAAGCGCGCTTTCCAATTTTCAAATCCACTAAACGGCCATTTTCACTCTCTTCTTCAAATCTCACTGCCACCATCTTCATACCTCCATAGCCAGTCACACCACAAATCTCCAGCGCAATGGCCACTCTTACTCCAGGAATCCTCTTAAAGCTCCTCCAGTCGATGAACACGAACGCCAGAGTCACGGGCGACCACCGCTCTCCGCTCCTCCAGGTGATTGGAATCGTGCCGGCGCTTTCCACATCCGATTCCTTGTGGACACACCACGGGTTCTATGTTCAACTCTCGGACTCTCTGAATTCCACCTACGTCTCCCTCTCCGACCGAGACACGGATCTCATCCTCACCAACCGTCTCCAGCTAGGTCAGTTTGTCCACGTCGAACGCTTCGTCTTTGACTCCCCACCAGTCCCACGCGCAGTTAATATCCGCCCGATTGCGGGCAGGCACAGCTCTGTTGGGTCCCCTGAGCCTCTAATCGCTCGGATCTCACCTAAGAACGGAGGGTTTGTTATCCAGCCAGTGACGGATTCGGACCCCATTGCTGCATATTTGCCGAGAAGCGGAAGAGGTGAAAATGAAATTAAGGGGGTCGGTAAGGATGAGGACAAAATTGGTGTCAGAAAAGTTTTTGCAGCAAAGGAGAACGTTGGTTTGGAAGAGCCTTCAAACAAAACTCTACCTGAAAAGTCTACTCCGGCGCCGGCTGCTCCTCAGAGGTTTTCCTCCCCTGGATCTGCGAGGCAGAGGTCAATATCCTCAAGCAAGAAAAACGTGGCTGCGGAGAGAGATCCATCGCCTGCAGGAAAAGTGAAGAGGTCAGCTTCACCCGTGCCATCCAAGTGTGTCGTGCCTAGCCTTGTGTCAGCCAAGGAGGAGAATCGCAGAACGTCAAGGGAGGCTGCCATCATAGTGCCCTCAAGATACAGGCAGCCTTCGCCCACATCGGGTAGGAGGCAGGCGAGTCCAGTGGTCTCCAGAAGGATGTCTCTTTCGCCTGCACGGAGGTTGTCCGGAGTGAAAGATTCTTCAGGGAAAAAGAAGATAACAGCTATTGCTGCCGGAATTTCCAAGGTCTCTGAGGCAATTGTCGGGTCTAGTAAATCTAGTAGAAAGAGTTGGGATGAAGGTCCAGCTGTCTCAGCTGGGCTGTCGGAGTACAGAGCCACCCGGAATAAGCCCGATTTGCAGGCAATTCTCAGAACTCAGGTAAAGAAAGCATTTCTTAGACGTTTTATAGGCTTATCTGTTGCCTTTTTTCATCTTTTTATCCTACTAACTATTATAAATTTCAGATTTCTCAGATTAATGCAAGCATTTGTGATTTTGTTGTTCTCCTGCATGTTCTCTAATCTTTTACTTGACAGGCTGCTATTTCTAGGCGTTTGAGTGATGCAAGTATATCTCAAGATGATGGTGCGAGTGATGAAAAGGTGAAATGTGCAGAACGATCTGTAGAATCAGAGAAGCTGAACGGTGCTCCAGTCATACGAATTCATGAGAAGAAATGGACAGATGGCAGTGTTCCTCTAGACTCGCTCACTCCTGACCTTGCAAGACTTGGAAAGGTATTAATAGAAAGGCTAGTAAATTTGATATGGCAACATGCATTGTCTTGAACTTGCATGAGTTTTACATATAAGCTTCAATTCAAACAAAAACGTGACATTTGCAACATGAAGATATGCAAAATTGATGTGATATGAGATATTGTTGCAGGAAGCTAGGCAAAGGAGGGTTGTTGCCTCGAAGGCTGCCGCAGATGCTTTAGAAGAGGCCCTTGCCACAGAATCTATTGTTAGAGGTTTGAGGTATAGCTGATTTAATCCATTGGATTTGACTAATTTGATTTTATACGATTGATGACAATCAATATGATACGAGTTCCACTAAAGCAAAGCAATAATCACAATTGTTTTTATAAGTATCATTTTAGGTGTGTGAACGCATACTAATAAAGCCATAAATTTTCTTACCTCTTGGTAAAATAGTACTCCCTCCGGTCCCAAATGAAATTCACACTTTCCTTTTTGGGTAGATCCAAAATAAACTTCACATTTCTCCCCCTTTCCTTATTTGGCAAATTATCTACATCAAAACAGTGCAAAACAGTGCCAAACATCGCCAAACATTGCCAAACAGTATCACAACAGTGTACTCTACAGTAAAGTCAAATTTATTTCCTTAATTTGTGTGAAGACAAAGTGTGAATTTCATTTGGGACTGGAGGGAGTATGACATAAATAGAATAACTCCTATTAATGTTTTAAAATTCCACAGACATTTATGGGGGATAATGGTGGACCATACTAGTTAAATAGTTAATTATCTCTTACGGTTTTTTATAGCTGAGACTTAGTTGCGAATATCTTTTATCCTCAAAGGAGGATTGTTAAGAAAAAGAAATTAAAAACTAGGTACCGATTGAATGAACATTTCAGTAGTTTAATAGGGAAAATAAAAAAGAAACAAATTAGGTTCAACTAGGATCGGACGCTCACTTTTGGTACTATTGCTCGAGTGTATTTGTCGTATTTAGAACCAGCTTAAGTGAATGGTGATTATAGTCCATGTTTGCCTCGTTAACATGTGACAACATAACATTTAATGCAATTTTGTTTTTTGGCAGCATGTTTTCTGAAATCTGTTCAAGTTCAAAGAAGGCTGAGAACCCGTTGCCTACAATAGACCGCTTTTTGTCTGTCTATGAAGATGTGGCGAAATCAACATCAGTTGTTGAATCAGTCACCATTACCCACTCTTCACCAGAACTTCAAGAAAATTTCTCAACTGATCAGTCCAACAAACCATCTTCTCTTTGGGTTGAGGCTGCTCTGGCAACTGATCTTGAAGTTGTCTCGCTCCTAACAACAGACCACAACTTAGAACCTACACCTCCATCCCCTCTTGAGAAAAGTGCACCCAAGAAACATGGAAAATCATCATTATCATCTATCAAACCTTTTTCTCGACCAGTTTCTTCTTCTCCAATTTGGAAAAGGGGTGAAGGAATGAATGAGACTCTGGAACTAGCAAAGAAGTTGCAAGCAGAGATGGAATTATGGTTCCTCGGGTTTGTTAAGGACTCGTTGGAAGTTGGTTTTCAGGTTTTCCAGAGATGCCCTTCCCAAGTAGATGGAGGAGGTCTCAAGTGTGGCCCAATCGCGTCCATTCTTTCACAGCTGAAGAGAGTCAACACCTGGTTGGACCAAATTTCCATGAAAGAAGAGGGCTTGGTGGAAAAGATTGAGAGCTTGAGGATGAAGATATATGGATTTGTTATTCAAAATGTGGGATCAGTAGAAAATTCAGCATAATTTTGAGCTATTTAGCTTTTTCATTGTCTTTTTCCTTGAAGAATGCCCATAGTACCTGGTAGTAATGTGTTCTCTATTACCACCATATATGGTAGTAATGTGTTTGCTTTTGCGATGATTTCATGAGCAGAAACAGTATAATCTTTTACCTTTCTTGGCAATCTTCGGCTTTTAACAATTTATTGATGCTATGTTTGGCATTTGGAAGAGCAGTTTTTTCGTTCGTACTCATTAAAAACTCATATATTCCTTCCATATTTTGGTTTAAAATAGTCAATATTCTTGCTTCTTAACAAGCAGGAATATTGAACTGAGCCTTTTCTTCATTCCTTTTTCACTGGTCCTATTTCATATTGAAAACTAAAGTGAATTACTCTGTAATGTCTCTACGTGATTCTTGACATGTTATAATAAACTGAGTTGCTGAACTTCCTTATTTCATTCTGAAAAAAATAAATATAAAAACATAATTTACACCACACCAATTCTTTTTCCCTAATTGTTATCTGGTTTCTATCACTTAAAAGTTACAAGTAGCAACACATGAAAATAGCAAAGCAATGACACCTCTACTTGGAAATCTGCCACCGTAACTCCGTAAGCTTCCCTGCATCTTCAATCACCTTTGAAATAAATAAATAAATCAATAAATCTTTTAATCAGCTAAACAAATGAGGAGGTTCTCCTCCAACATGAAAACAAATGCAACTACTTTAATTCCCCAGCAGAGACTAAATATGCCCCTTTTGGCATGTCACTTTCATCTGCCACTGGCCACTGCTAGTGACACCTCCACAACACGTCACTGTCCTTTGTGATGACTTTCTAGGGAGAATTTCGGTGCCCAGCATTAGAGGCATTTCACTGTCATTGCAACAGTTGAGAGATTTTTGCGGGAGAGAAAAAAGAAAGCGATAGAATTAGTAGAGAAAATTTAGTGTTTGGTCACTCTTTTGGAAATACTAGTGTTTTATATTTGTCCATTGAAAATCTAGGATTATATTCTGGCTGTTCTTTAAAGTAGTTATCTTCACAAGAATTTAAGCAGCAGTAACGAAATGCCAAGGGTAATATTGTCATTGGCTTACCAATCACCACAAGACCGCTTCACTTGTTGCAGTAATGGGGGTTTTCAATATCTCTTGAAGCATTTATCACATCACACTTGTTGACTAACTTCAGCTGCCGATGGAGAGTTTTCACTTTCAGCTCCAATCTCACATTTGCAGAGCGGGCAGGATGCATTTAATCTCAACCACTTATCCACACATTCAGTATGGAAGAAATGGGAGCAAGTTAACTCCCTCACCTCATCGTCCTCCTCGTAGTTAGACAGACATATACAACACACCTGCAGCAACAGTTCAAGAGATGTTTTGGCAGCAAATAATGATAACCTATGTTTATTTAAAAGCACCACGAGCTCACTAGGGACGTCACTAGCTATTCGGAGGCTTTGAAAGATTCAAATGTCAATGAAAATTGACACAACCATATTCAATATCATGGTCAAAGTTTACACTGTTTAGTGGAACATAGTCCATTATGATTTGGAAGCACTTTGGTGCTTTATGCATTAATAAAGCTAAAAATAGTGTTCTTAATTTTAAGCACATTGATGGTAAAAGCTAAATGCAAAGGGGAAAGTCCTTAGTTTGCTTTTCAGTTCCTTACTCCTAATATTTTACCCAAATATTACAATAAAGTTACTCCCACCGTCCCGAAATAATTGCCTTGTTTTCCTTTTTGGGATTTCCAAAAAATTTGTCCTGTTTCCTATTTTGGAAATAATATGTGACTCATATCAATTCATTTTTTTCTACTCAAATCTCAACCACAACTTTTACTTTTTCAACCACTTTCTTAAAACCTGTGCTAAAGCAAACAAGGCAATTATTTCAGGACGGAGGGAGTACTTTTTTACCGCACGCCATTTCCACTTTTTTAAAGTTACTTACATTTTCAAATACTACCAGTTTTACTATTAAGCGTTTTCTCCCTTATCTATAATCACTAAAACAAATCAGTTATCAAAAGCATAAGCAAATAAAAAAGTGCCAATAACTCATTTTTAAAGATTTGCATATATAACACAATACTCCATAAAAGTTAAATCTTGTATTTTTTGGAACCAATACAATGTATAAATTACATTGTAGAAAATTTTCATCACGTCCTTTTTTAAACACAATTAATACCTCTCAGTTTTCAAATAGAAGTATTTTAAAAATGAAGCCCACATCAAAAGTGGGCCCACCCAGGGATGTTCCCAAATGGGGTTTAGTCGGGGGTAGGTGTGGGCCCGGGCCGTGCGGCCAAGGGAGGGAAAAACTTACAGCATCTTCACCAGATATGGATCGTTCCTTATCCATACCAGCTTCCAAAAAACCGGCTCCTTCAGCACCAGATCCATTCTCTCCATTTTTCCTTGGTCTGAACTTATAAGTGGGCAGAGCATTAATACATTCTTCAGTTGCCCCTCTCATTCCATTCATATCTTCACGAACACCAAGGAATGATATGATACAGGGAAGGCAGCAACATATCATTGCACACAAGATGAAAGGCATGGCATACCCGATACAACTAAAGGTGAGAAAAACTATACACAACCTGCCAATCAAGTAAACAGCAGGTTGGCATTGCAAGTGTGTTGTCACATGGACCCAGAATTAACAAAAGCAGAAAGAGGAAGGGGGGTAAGAGATTACCTATACAAATTGGGAGCATCAGAGGAGGAAGAATGCCCTCCAAAGATCCAAACATTTCCAACAACGAACCAAACTGCGAAGAAGCAATCCAATGCCATTTTGAAGTGGCTCGCAAATGCAACAATCCTGACAAGAACATTTGTAAGGGGCTGACTGAACCAGATATTAATGTACCATAGTTAATTAAAACACAACTATCTACTACTGTACTGAATATTAGGGTGTGTTTGGATAACAGAAAAACAAGGGAAAGGTTAAAGCTTCAACGCAAATTTATATTTTATGTTTGGTTTTACCTTGGAAAAGCAAACAAAATGAAATATGATTTTTAGATTTAAGGGTACACATATTTAGCCTGTATAATAACAAACATACATAAATAAATTGATTACATACAAATATTTAAAAGAAACTTATTGAGTTTAGCCTTCTCTACAATTCCCCCCTCTCTCAAGCACATTCTCTTTGAAACACAAAAATCTAATGTCCTACTGCATATTAGGGTGTGTTGAATTAAAGAAAAATCTGGGGAAGTGAAATAACTTCAAAGAAAATTTGCTTTCTTATTTTTGGATTTACCGTAGAAGATGCAAAGAAAATGAGACATGATTATCCTTTATCTAAATTGTACATATGTTAAGTCTCTGTATAATAGAAATAAATAAACAAAATGAGCATCTACTAATAGCTAAAATAAATGTATCGACTTTTAGCCTGATCTTCTATCTACGAGATCCAAATGGATCCCAATCTTCAACATAAATTTGACAAAATCGAAAAATGTGTATCCTATCACCAAATAAACATCCAACTGATTTGTTCAAAGAAAATGAACAGATAGTTAGCTACCTTGCATTTCGAGCTTCATCGTTATCAGTTGCATTATGGCCACCTTCATCCTCAGAAGACTGGGTCAAGGAGAATGTAATATAAGAGTTGGGATCCGATGTGGAACTAACTCTGCGTGAACCTTGAGCCGGGCCCCATCCAGTGGCCTGACCACGATGGTGATAACGCCAATACAGGAGAGGAAGACTTGCAGCACACCCAACCGCATACCCCACAACCCAAGCAAACAATGGAGTTTGCGGCTTTTCATGCCTTGATATGGATAATACAACAATGGCAGCTATGATTTTTCCTAGAGTGAAAGAGAGCTCAATGGTCATCCACAATAAGATATTAAAAGGGCTCAAATGGTGACCTAATCCTTCACCTCTCCTTGTGACCATGGGATTTTGCGAATTTGAACGAGTTGATGAAGATGAAGAAGGCCTATCTTCATGATGAGGTGGACTCAGTCCATGTGGAGTTTCATAATCAGAAGAATCTGATGATGAAGCATCACCCACTCGTTCTATATTAATGACGTGTTCTTCCTTTTGACCATTTTCTCCTCCCTCCATGAGCAAAGGGGATGGATCAATTGGGTTTTGTCTACTAAGTTCTTCAGAGGTAACAGCCATTCACACCCAACTAACCCCAAACCAATAATCAAAACCTAGGTACATGCCAAGTATATATAATTCAAGAGCACTTACCCTGGAATTAAACATAAAAGTAGCTCTTAGTTTCCTTTAGAAGGTGAATTTGGCCTCACAATGAAGATTTCAGAAATCAAATGCATCAATCAACCAAGAAAATACTCAAACTCTTGGTGTGAAAACATTTCTTCACTAAGTGGCAGTTTGGTGCTTTTTTCCAGCTGTTAGATTTCCGGAGGAGTAATTCCAAATTGGACGTGTTTACTGCTTATAGCATTAGCTACCTGGTGAAGAGAATCACACAACTCTGCCTTGAATTTATTTCTAAATCCAAAGATTCATATTCATATTGCCCCAAACTTTCTCAGGTTAAGACATAGATGTTTTCACCTTTTAAATTGACTCATCTTAAAAGAATACCTCATCGAGTTTAGATAAGAATAACATACTCTCCTCTTAAAAGCAACCCATTGTTTAATGTATACAACAAGTTTAGAACATCAACCCTAATCATAATAAGAATCAAACAGCCGTCTTGCTCTGCCCTAACTTCACACGAAAAAGAGAAATCAAATTTGAGAATACAATCACAACACCTTAACCTCAGATAAGGGTATACTAATTTCAGTTTAAGAGAATAAGAGAACACTTTAGCTTAAATCAATCGAAAAGTAATGGAAACCATATTTATTGAATGCTTATATGTTACATTACCATGGAAAGCTATGGAAACCCAATTGAAAACAATAACAGAACAAAAACACACCCAAATTAAATTACTCATATGTTACAAATTTCCTATGAAATCAATTAATCTAAATCAAAGTCATATACAGAACGCCTATATTTAAACATTTTCTACCGAATATTAATCAATTCCTATAAAAGAGCCATCATCGATCAGAACAAAGAGAAGAAAAGTCTGATAAACAATGAATGTAGAGAACAAAGAATTTACCGGGGGGATTGGGATGATTAATCAGCCCGAGTGATAAAATTTTAAGTTTTCTTGCCTTTCATGGGGCATTTTCTGTCTCCAGCAAGAAAATACGTAGTATCAATTTAATCACTCACCTTTTAAAACTTTACGGACTCCATTTTATTCAATAATAATCCAATGTTTGACCGTTTGATTCCTTATGTTAGTTATGTAAATAATTACAATATTTTCGCCCGTTTTTTGACAAAGCTTCATAATCAATATTACAATTACAATATATATATATATAAGATAACTTTTTAAGAGCATACAAAGCGCCACATAATCCTACCATGTCATTATATATAACAATTATTTACTTATTTTTATGCTTTGTTTTTATTAGATTCTATTTTTTATTGCATATTGATATGGAAACAAAAATCCTTATAAATCCACCTTAATTAATTTGGTAAGCTTCAAATGAGTAAAATAATTTTTGGTTATCAAAGTGAAATTCTAATAACGTTTATTGATATGGAAACTAATTTATATTAGTTTACTACACCGAATTAAATAGAAACAAATATGCAAATTAGTTTACTTATTAATTTGACACCTATTAATAAATTAGTAAGCTTCAAATAAGTAAATAATTAAAAATGAAATTAAAAATTATAACCAACATAAAGTATATATATATTTTCACAAGTAAATATGTTTAGCTTAGCCAAATAAGTAATTTTTTTTGTTGTTTCTTTATTTTGCACCTAAAATTCAAATATGTCTTCACTTTTGAAATAGATTCCTAATCCAAATTAGAAAATCTTTATAGTTTTACGATTTCCTACTTTTATTTTAATAGAATGTTTTTTAATTGGATTGATTTCAGTTCCAGATTAAACCAGATCAGATCAAACTTTAATAATTATAACAATAAGTCACATAAAAAACAGACATCTAATAGACAATATTAATTCATACCAAATCAAATCCGAAATTCTAATTCAATTAAAAACGTTCTTATTAATGAGTAAATTGTAAGATCTAACAATTAAGAAATATAGATTTTTTATTGGGTTCATAACAATTATGTTTACTTGAGATGTTTATGTAGAAGACCAATTTAGCTTTTTTTTCATATATTTTTTTCTTTGTTTCACAAATGGAATATATTTCACATAAATTTTTCATGATTTAGAAGATTCCACTTATTTAACCAGAATTCAATCAATTTCAGCAAAATAAGTTAATTCTGTTTACTTTAGTATTATCAAACAGACTCTATATGAGACTAAGTTTATTTTTCTTTTAAATCACATTATATGTGATCCGATAAAAATTAAATTTCAAATTAGCTAAATTACATACTGCCCGTGCATCGCACGAGCTTGAAAGCTAGTATATAGTATTGGGAAAAGATACACATATACTTGACTTTATAGTATGATTGTGAGAACAGATATATCCTTTTCTATTTTTCTGAACAAATATACCCTTCAAGTATATGTAGAAATGCACATATACTCCTAGACTTTTAAAAAGGTGCAAAAATACCCCTCATTTTCCTATAAAGGAGCAAATTTACCTTTCTTGAATTTAAATTGATAAAACAAATTTCAAAAAATACCAAAAACAAATTAAAAATTTGAAATTAAAAAATTAAAATTTTTAAAATTATACTTTGTGGTGTCCAACTCTCCCCTTTATTGTTTGTATATCATAATTTAATATTGTTAGTATAAAATATTATTTCAAAACATTACCATATATTTAATATTCTTTCAAAAAAAATGTTAACATATATGTTGCAGCATCTTTTTTTTTTTTTGCATTCTTTGCACCATAAAAATTACATATTTTGTATGATGATAAATTCCAAGATTACAAAATAGTGAATTTAATTTTATTAAGGTTAAACAAAATCAAAGAATGTTATTTCAAAAAATGTATCAATGTGTTAAAAATTTCGCAACAAGACTAAAATTAAAATTAATTAATGATTTTGAAGTGCTTCATTTACAACGGAAAAATAATAATTTTGAAATTTAAAATTAAAGAGGTATTATTTTAACATATAATAAATATTTATTTTTAAATTTCGAATTTATAATTTATTCTTTGTGTTTTTTGAAATTTATTTTATCTATTCAAAGTCAATAAGGGTGAATTTGCTCGTTTATAAGAACATGAGAGGTATTTTGCACTTTTTAAAAGTTCATGGGTATATATGCACGCACTTAAACATATATTTCAAGGATATTTTTGTTCTGAAAAATAGAATATGGGTATATTTGTTCTCATACGGTACTACATAGGTATATTTTTACCTTATCCCTATAGTATTTTGTTATAATATTTGTTCTATGTTTGTCAACATCCTTGAATCGAGAGGAAATTAACCTGTGACCTCTTCTAAGAAGTGTCACAGTGATGTCATCAGACGTATTTGGTTTCGCCCGTTTTCATTTAAAAATATTCAATTAAACATGTATACGTTTATATCATTTCCTCAATCCTCATACTTTACAATTTCAATTCCATTCATTATCCATACTATTTCACACTTGCCATTTATGTGAATGTCTAATCTTGCAACACAAAATACTACTACGTAATTAACATAGTAGTATTGAAAAATAATTGCATTCTTGAATCAAATTTAGTTCGCAAATTATACCGTGGGATCGGTCCACCTTTCGCATGGTCTGCCGATCCCACTTTTAGGAAAGTTACGTTGCTTTTCTTTTCCCACTTCCTTTGTCTCCAACTTTGTTATTTCCTTTTCCTTTGCTTTTCTTTTTTTCTTCTTTTGTTCAATTCTTTTCTTTTTCCATCAAATTAAAATACTAAAAATTTAATTGCAATCCTACTTTCTTTATCTTCATCTTAAATTATAATTGAATCTATTTTTTATTCTTTATCAATACATAATAATTCATCTAAAAAAAATCTTTATCTTCATGTTCATAATTTTTTTTCTATAATATATTTCTTTATCTCTTTATAAAAAAATATATTTCTTATCTCTTTGATATGTTTTTAGTTTTTTTAAGACATAAAATTTGTTTTTTCGATTTAAATTTCATAAAACATGAATTATATTACGTTTTTCATGTGTGAGTTATCTTCATAGCCAATTTATGGAATTACATGTGATATTATATGAAGTTACATCTTTTTATAGGCGAATTACATCTTGTTGTCCATGAGTTACATCTTCTTATACACGAGTTACGTTTAGACTTGCCTCAACAAGCTATATTTTGCATACACCTAATTTAGATTTTTTAGCATGAGTTACATGTTTTCATAACACGAGTTACATCACGAAATAAATCCATCCATTGAAACCAAAAAATAATTTTTTTGCAAACAAAAATGATTTTTTTTGGAAAAAAATGATTTTGCGGCAAAAAAATTAATATTTGTGGCAAAAAATATTATTATTCTTTGAAACATTTTTATGGCCTTAATACAAAAAACAAAACATACTAACTATTTACGTTAAAAAAATTTAAGCAATTAGACTTCATGTTTTCATTGTTTACATTTGATAGTATATGAAGTTACATCTTCTTATGCGCAGGTTTCATCTTTTTATGTGTGAGTTACATCTTACTTTACACGAGTTACATTTAGACTTACATTAACAAGTTACATTTTACATTGACCTAAGTTAGATTTTTCATCAACGTGAGTTACATTTTCTATAACATAAGTTACATCGCAACATAAAGCTCTACTATATATTGAAACAAAAAAATCATTTTTTGCCAAACAAGGTAAAAAATGATTTCTTTAGCAAAAAAGTGATTTAAAAAAATATATTTTTTGGCAGAACATATTCACTATTTAAGTAAACACATGCTATCGAAACAAAAAAACGAGTTTTTTGCAAGGGAAAAAAATGGCGGAAAAATGATTTTTTGGCAAAAAAAAACTGATTTTAAGGGAAAAAATTATTTATGGTCTTAGTATTAAAAACAAAACATATTCACTATTTACGTAAAGTAATTGAGCAATTAGACTCCTTGTTTCAAGGAAATCAATGTTTTATTTCTTATAGTTCGTATTAGACAAGTTACATTTGGACTTGCTTGCAGTTACATTTCTGATCAGCGTGAGTTACATTTCTTTACACGCGAGTTACATTACTCTGCTACTGGACACTGGAAAAACAAAAAATAATTTACTGTTCACGCGTGAACAGTAACACACGTATTTTTGTCTGTGGGAGCAGCATGCTCACGGTGGGCTGCTCCCACTGTATAACAACTGAATTTAGTTCCATTCGTGCACCAAATGTCCACACTTGACCAATTATCTCACCTCCCTCAATTTTTTCCCGCAACATCACCTCCCTCATTTATTAAAAAAATCATTTCATTATTTGCCCTCCAGAAACATAGTAAGGGGTGTGTGGAACCCCGCTTCTGTTTCCTTTTTAAAGCAGAATCAGAATTAGTTTTCAGAAACTGGTCTTTCACGGCTTCTAAAATAACTGATTGTAGGAATAAATTAGAGCACCAAAGTACTTCTACACTTTCACCCAAATACTCTAACTTCTGCTTCTGCTCCCTGAAGGAGCATAAGCAATTTTAAGAATCGGATCCAAACACCCCTAAATTGGTAATGCGATTTCTATTCGAATGGACTGTGGTAAATGGTCCTTAACCGGTGGGCGTAGCTCAACTGATAGCGAGGGAGTGCCACAAGGGTTAGGTCCCGAGTTCGAATCCCGGCAACTGCGATGAGGAGTTACCATGCTAAAATGCATAGAGTCTCTGCAAGTACCGGTGACAGAGCTACACTCTCTATCTGTCAGATTGGGATTATAATCTAATTTACATCCTCCCAACGTACCATCCGGTCGGGATTGGGGGACCCTCAGGGATGGGGTGTCATCCTTTTTTTTTGTAAATGGTCCTTATTTAAATGAGGCGAAACTTGGATTTTCACACATCATCACTTTATATCGAAAAGATAATACTCCCTTCGTCCCGTTGGAATGTTCCCGCTTTCCTTTTTTGGATGTCCCGTTGAAAAGTTCTCATCTCCCTAAATGGAAAGTTATCTTACATCAAAAAAAGGTCAAACAGTGCAAAACAGTGTCAAACAGTGTCGAAACAGTGCCAAACAACGTCGAAACAGTGTCAAAATAGTAAAATTTACCCCTGATAAGTTTATT